GACTTAGGGCCAGCACCAAGTAACATGGCTGTCGTTTGCATCGTGGCCTTGGCTGTACTCTATCCTACCCTACTGTCAAAGCTACAGGTAGAGTCTCTCTCTTCATGGATCTGTCTGCGATTTGGGTCGAAGCCTGAGCTCAGGCCTTTTGCTTTCGGTTGCTATACTTCACGTTCGATGCTCACACCCCGAGTTAGACGGACAAAGCTCCCGGGACGGCGCTTGATTAGAATATGTTCCTTTGCTGGTGGTGGCCGGTCCAAACTCCGTCAGCATTTGTTCTAGCGACATGAATTGCTTACTTGCAAAGCTTTTGCTGCAAAGCACGGGTGGTCACTGCGTATCTACCACTGCCGTTTGTGACGAAGGACCAAGCTGACTGGCTCAGCTCTACGGAGTTGGCAAGCAGTCTTGAGAAAGTGCAGACATCTGTCTATGCTTGAAACGCGCCTATCTGGAACACTTTGTCCAGGAGGTTCAGCCTCCAGGCGAGGGCATCTGCATTTGCTCCGAAATCATCTCGCGTCATCTTGCGCCAACCATGATCGAGGATTCCGCCGGGACATGAACGAGGTCGAAAAGGCCCGAACGACCCCAGACCCCTCACTGTAGCAACAAGGCTCTTCCGAGTCTGCTGGCAAGAGCACACAATAACCGACGGGTAGCAGAAGTGTGTCAGCGAACTAGGTTGCAGACGTCAGTGGCGAAGATCGCAGCGCAAGCACCTCATGTCTACAAGCCGGAAAACTGATTGTTCTCATGGAACCAAAGCAGTTCGGTAGCTGTCCTGCACAATCTCAGGACTCCCCCTCTCTCTCTCGCTGTCAGGGATCAAAGGTAGAACAGTCAGGCCCGAACACCAGTGTTGAAGGGCACTCGCCCGTTGACCTCTTCAAGGCTCATCTCTCTGGCTTGAGAGAGGGGCGGACGAAAGCTAGGGGCGCGGAGGGTCGGCGGCGGCTGATTTCCTGGGTTCTTGTTTGAATGCGACCGCTGCAAGGCTCGGCGTGGGCTGCACTTGATCCAGGCGAAAATCCCGTGTCAATGTCTCGTTTTTTGTTTTGAGATCTTATGGTAAGCTGTCTGTTTTGTATCCAGCTTCGCCCCAGCATCAAAATCGAAGACCTGGGTGGGGGAGAGCCTACTTACAGGGGAAAAGGGGACTTCGAAACGGAAAAAACGGGGGGGGGGCCTCGATGCTTCCTTGACCAAGGAGCTGGATTTCGTGATTTTGGTCTCTTGGTCGTGCTTCGACGGCGGGATGCTGACGATCCCGGATGCTCGCAAATCTCCGCCCTAAACATGCAAATGCCTGCCCCCCACCACCGTCACGGCAGGGGTGGCAGACTGATCCAACTCCCACCATGAGTGCCACCGCACCTGCTCGTCCAGGGAGGCAACGACAAGTTTCTCAGAATCCTGAGGCGAACTTTCAACTCGGGCTGCCGTCCTCCTTGCGTTCACAAATCAAGCATCGGACCAAGCGAAGCCGGCTTGATTACTGGAACCGCCACCGAGTGGAGTCTTAGAAGCTTGCATCTAGCTCAGCCACAGCCACACTGTCGCTGCCGGTGTGTGCAAATGAGAAGATATGAATTGGAACTCTCCGCAGCTACGAAATGGATCAATTCCAGCTTCTGAGCTGCAGCTACATTTTTGTCAAGCATTCATACAATAATGTCAAGCATCAATATCTAAAAACGACTTTGACAGACCGATTTCGTACTATTCGGATTTACAGAGCAGGTGCTGCCAGGCTGTTGAAGAAAGGCGTGCCGTTGAAGTACGGGTTGCTGAGCTTTCCACTGGTGTAACGTCTTCGCTGAAGTGCTCCACCTTTTGACAGTTTGACATGCTTCAGCGATGCTTTCAAACTTCAGGCCGGGGACATGAGTCTGATGGCTGCGTCCTTCCTGCAGTGCACACGCTCAGGCTTTTGCTAGGGCATCGTGGATGGGATCGATCCTGCTCCACTGAGAGTGAAGGCGTTTGACTCTAGCATTCGGGTTCGATGTCGACCTACTTAATTGCTTCAGAGTGTGAAGCGGCCAGGTCCTGGGATTCGTGATGAAGATGTCATCATCCATACACACAACAGCATCATAGTCGCCCAGGATTAATACCTGATCGGTCTACGAAGTCACTCAGAGTAAGCGGCGACATCGAATGAGTATTCACAGGACTGTTTGAACAAGCCAGCTGCACGCTCTGGAGAGTAGCCAAGCAGCACGACGGGCGTAAGCCAGCTTGTTCCAGGATGGATGGAAATCCCGGGGGTCTACGAGGCTTTCCTTCGCAGGCTTGCTCGTGCACCGATGCGAAGCAGGACTACAACCTGTGATGCCTTCTTCCCACCTCCTCCAAGAGCAAGTCGTAGCGCCCTGGGTGGCCTAAGTGCCAGCGGTGTCGAAGATTCCGATCCGGGTGGTGTCCGGGCAGGAATAATCAAGATCCAAACACCGGAAGACTGTCCGGAGAACCACTTGCGCTCGGCCCCTCGGCTGCTGCCAAGTCGCGACCCACGAAGTCTTCCAGACTCGGCCTTGCAGCATGACGGTACTTGTAATGGTGGTGGGCTTTCGTGACTGTGATGCTCACGATCATAAGCCAAGACCATGTCTGATGGCCATGAAAGTCACGGTGATGCTGCCGACTGTAGCCCGGTATTAATTGGTGATGACTGTGATGTCAATGATGATGGTGGGTGGTGATGATGATGGATTTTGATGAATAGAGACCGTCATCAGTGGCATCAAACCCACGACGAAGACTCTCATCACCATAATCATCACCACTACTTCGACTGCACTACCACCATCCTAAGCACCAGTACCACTAGGGTTGTGGGCTTCAGGATTACAGGCAGCCATGTCGGACATGCTTGTTGGGATCAGATGATGTACGGGTCCAAAAAAGAAGGGAACAACTTAGATCTTACTCAAGCTGGCTCCTGTGTGTTGAAGCAGCAGCAGTAGCATTAGCAATTGACCCTGTAGATTCCATGCTGCTGAGATCATGCATTGACATCCGTCATACCTCCTTCCGCATCCAACAGCAGCAACAAGAACACCCGACCACCGCCTCTGCAAAGATCCACGGCAATGTCAGCACACGAACTGTTCATTTACAAGGCGCGCTATTGACTATCGCTACACAGGTAGTACCCAATTCACCCACCAGCCTAATGATCATCTTCTTCATCAACTTCATCACAATCACCGTCATCGGTATCACGCCTTACCATCATGACCGGCAGCAGCCTCAACATCACTGTTGTCAGCATCATGGTCACCGGCCCAGGCAGCACCAAAGAGCCACCACCATTTTGGGAAGTCGAGGTCATCATCAACCCGTTGTCCCCAATCATCTCTGGACTTGAGGTGTTCACGGCAAAAGAGCTCGTTAGACCATCTACTTACATGGCCCAAAGGCTCACACTTCCTGAGAAGCAGGGCCTTGTGAGCGTCCCCAGGGGCCGATCCGAAAACTGGAGCAACGCCCAACGGCCGTGTCGAGGCCCGGCGAGGGGCTTCACCTTCAATTCAATAAATGTGAGCAGTGCTAGTAAGGGTGATGCTGCGTGTTCAGCCAAGCGCCAAGCAGCACAAACCCGAAGCGGTCGTCGCTTGCGCACGAAGGATCCACGACAAATTCGTTATGGCATGGAAGATACAGCAACAAAGATCAGGTCTCAGGACCACACTGCAGCATGCAAGCGCCATTTCTCTGCTGCAGCCTATGCAGGGGAATGGATCCTGTTGAATGGTGCGCGTGCCCTGTCGGGGCTGCCTCTTGACGCTTGTGAGAAAGCACAACAATCGCAGAAGTCCTCACCCAGTGCAAACCAACTGCGCTTCATGTCAACTGCCGTGCTAGTGATAGTTGACTGACAGAGCTATCCAGGCTTAAAGCTGATCTGGTCTTGGTAATTTGCACTTGGGGTGTTTGGGGCTGGGCTTTGTGCCTCGGCTGTAAAGACTTTGAGAGCTCCGACCTGTCTCCAAGGAACCCAAAGCCAGAGAAACCGGCCCAATGTCCCCAGCACACATTTTTCTCACTCAAGAGGATGATCTTGTTTCTTCCGCTCTGTGCGCCTATGGATATCAAAGCTTTCGTCGGAAGAACAGCGTGTACCCCGCTCTGAGCTCCTGAGCATCCGACCTGCTACCTGCCACCTTTTTCGGACTCCAGGAAGAGTGTCAGAGCACAGCGCGCTGCATGATATGGCTGGAGCCATTCGTAAAAGCTTACCTCAAGGTTCTGCTGCAACAAGACAGCCCAGCAATCAGCCCTCAGGGCCTAGGGATTCAGCTCGGAAATGATCTGAAGACCATCTGATGTCCGGGCCTGCTGTCGCGCCGCCGCCCACGGACAAAGACCATCGAAGGCCGCCGCACTGAGCGTCGAAACTTTCTGAGGTCACTTCGAGTAAACAGCAGGCTCCCGGCCTTCCGCAGCCGCCCCGAGCCAACTCAAGCTTGCTGTGGTTGACTCCGGCCTGGCGTTGAGGACGCGGGCTGTGCGAGCTGAGAGGCAGACAGCGGTGGCTACGGCTTCCCGTGCCTCCTCGCTGAGTCTCTCCCTCCCACACACCAAACACTTTAAACTGATCGCGAGTTTGCCACGCCTGTGTAGCGAGAACTATTGTGACTATGAACCTGCTCCAGGGGCAGTTTTTGCCTGTGAGCAAGCGCGAACCATCAGTGCAGGCTGGCGGCTATTCTCCCAAGTATGATAGTCTTTCAAATTTTAATGAAGTACTAGCCAATGGGCTCGGAAACGAAACAGTCCAGTCTGCTCAACTGCCAGATCCATGGCTTCTTCGTGTTGCATGTGCCCGCTGCTGCACCGACTGCTCGGATCATTTTCAGAAGCAGACAGCCTCTCAGAACTTGAAAGGTCTGCCTCACGAGCACGTCACTGTGTCAGCTAGACTGTGATGCATGAGTGCGGGGAAGGCATGCCAGATGCAATCGCATGATGTCATCAGCACAGTCTCTACTGCCTACTGATGTTTCAACTCTGGGTCATGCAACCTTTCTTCTGCATCTTTGAAAGCATGCTCTCTCAACTTCTCCTGTAATGTGGTGCCCTGCAGGAGACTCTAACGATTGGGGCGATTCCTGATTACTATGCAAGCGGCCCATCTCCCTCCGCACGCGCTGAACGCACCAGGTAATGGTCCTTAGCCGTATTTAGTTGAAGTTCGCCGCATTTAATCAATGACTGCATGGGGTTGAGCCTGCGCATCACCAAGCAGCCTGCTGCTGCTCCTCTCGACTAACTCGAAGCAGACATCGCTGGGCTTCGAGCTCTGCAAACTCATCGCCTGAATGCCATACTCATCAACAGCCGAAAGGAATTCGTCAAGCTCGAAGGCTCGAAGAACCCCGAGGCCAGCGAAATTTGTCATGCTCGGGCAACCCCGCAAAGCTCGCTGGGCCAAGTACGTTCTGCTGCACCGCCAAGGAAAAGCAGCGAGAAGGAGCGCCCTCCCGTCCTCAGCGTGCGAATCCAGCCGATCATGCACCGGCACATACCGGCACATGCCTCGCCTAACACTGCCATCAGGCAGAGCGACACGCTCAACCAGTCTCGCAGGTTTTCGGTGTGGTCATACTGCATCATCACAGCTTGTGCGACCGCATGCTCCAGTCGCTCTACAAGCTCAGAAGGGGGGTCTGCAAATGCCCATCACTTGCTGGGCAACAGCCGATGCCAGAGCATGAGTGCCAGGCGCAATGATGACAACACCCGCTTCTTCCGGGTCCTTATGGCATTGGTGGCATCTCGGGCAGCTCGGGGTTCAGACTTTCGGGGTTGCATGCAGGAGTAAGGGTTGCTGACGTGGCTCTTGCGTCAGGGCGCTAAGCTGGCAGCTCTGTTGAGGCTTGGCTTTGAGGCCGGTGTGCTAATTTCGACGCAGGAAACAAGACACCCAAACCCAGGATTGCATTCAGTTCAGCGCATTGCAATCCTGGTGTCTACTATGCCAACTCCAAAAATGCTGTAGCAACCTACACTGTGCAATTACAGCAAGGTGGACCAAGCCACAGCATCATGTCAGTCCATTATTGCACGCCGCAGAAGGAGATGCCCACATGAATCTGTATCTGCAGTTTCTGTCGTGATGCATTCCCTCTTGCTCTCCCAAAGCTGCAAGGTCGCTGTATGCATGTATATGTGCATACTTACAGAAACATATGTCAATGTAGTTCTACAGGTACGCAGATACGCACGAAGCACGTGTCACTTTCTTATTTTTGGCAGTCAGACAATTGAACAGTGCTCTGCTTGAAACATTGCTATCATCCGCACCGACAGCCAACGCTGTTGACAAAGCAGGTGGACAGATCTTTTGAAGCTTGGCCAGATGTTGCAATATGCAGCCTTGAAAGAGCGTTGCTTGCTCGGAGTTTCCGCATGTCGTGCATCAACGTGTGCGGATTTTTTCTGTAGGACGGTGCGCGTACACCGGCCTCTCTCTCTGTCATCTCTCTGCTTCAGCGAAGCCACGGGACATTTCGGTCTCGCCTCTCACGCGGCCTCATCCATCCTTCATTCTTGTTGCTCTTTCCGTCTCTCCGCGTGAGAGTGAGTGAGTGTGTGCGTGCGTGCGTGCGTGCGTGCGTGCGTGCGTGCGTGCGTGCGTGCGTGCGTGCGTGCGTGCGTGTGTGTGTGTGTGCGTGTGTGCGTGCGTCAAGGCGTTAGTGTGTGTGTGTGTGTACATATAATATAAATACATATTTTAAAAAATTAGGTAGGAAGGTAGGGAAGGAGGGGAGGGGAGGGGGAGAGGCAGAGGGGGGAGAGGGATGGGGAGGGGAGGGGGTGGGTGGGTGGGTGGGTGGGTGGGTGGGTGGGTGGGTGGGTGGGGAGGTGGTGGGGTGGGTGTGGGGTACGTAGGCGGGCAGGCAGGCAGGCAGGCAGGCAGGCAGGCAGGTAGGTAGGTGGTACGTAGGCAAATGGGCAGGCAGAAGGGTTATTTGGATGGTTTAGTGTGCAAGGGAGGGCAAGGTCAGTTGAGCCAGGAAGTAGTTGACACACATTGCGAGGCTGACGAACATGTTCGTAAGATATTCATAATTGTTTGTTGGGTTGTGTCTTTACCGTCTTCACCCTTTCTTCATAGGATTTCTGGTGACCAGTGTTAGCAACCAAGATGGACAAAAACCAAAGCCAACCGCCGTAAAGCCATGGCCATCAATCCATATCAACGCAACATCACTATGGTCGTGCCCATGTCGGCCCAATTGTGTTTGCTGGGTTTCCCACTGGATGCTCTTGGGTCATGGGCTTGCTGGCCACAAACCTGACACAGTCTTGAGTTTCTTGCCAACAAGTCGAAGACTCAAAGAGTTGCTAAGGCTGCGAAGGCCCAGTGCTGCCGACACACGGCTCCAGCTCTGAACCTGAGTCTCCAACGTTCTCAGCAGGCCACCAGCCAGAGACCCACTCTTCCTGACACCGGGACTGAGGCAGTATTTTCTTGAAGATCCCATGCAAGCGAAATCCGTGCAAATCCCGTTGGAGCCAAGGAGCTTCGGAGGCTCGCGCTCTTGCCTTCGCAGCCTGGCCGAGCTTTTGTTGCACACTTCGACCATCTCCGACCTACAAAGCCGGATCTTGCAGAGTTTGTAGAAAGTACATCGAGGGGCAGGAGTCGTCTCCGCATCTGATCTCCAAAAGCTGGAAAGCGGCGCAGCAAACATGACAGCACCGCTTGATAAACTCTTGGGAGACAGCGCCGCAGAACACTCCAGTCAAACTTGGCGTCGGGGGCACGATTTTCGGGAGGAGACATTAGCATCATTATCTGGCAGTAGCATTGACCGAGAATACATACAACAAGTCGAATGTGACAGTCTCACAACTCACTCGCTTTCTTCTCCACGCACATTAATCGATGCAACATGCAACTGCGACAAGCGCAAGCTCGAAGCTGCAGGCCTCTGGCGTGCCTGCAAGCTATGCCTCGTCAAGTGTGCTCCTTCTGCAAGCGAGTGAGGCCTAAGGTTCTGCGTGCCAGCGAACAGCCCAAAATGGCGAGGTCCATGGCCTGCGAAATGAGGATTCTCCATCTCTGCAGCTTCAAGCTCCAATGCCCAGGGCCACGTGCATGATGACAGCTGTCCAGACGGTGATGCCGAAGAGTACCAGAAAAATTGCATTGACAGCGGTGCCCTTCGCGTAGAAGTACCTCAGCGGCATCTTCAAAGGAAATTTCCGCGAGAAGACACGGCACTATATGAGGTGAGGTCAGGCTCACAAAACTCCAGAGGATCAAGGGCGAAGGCGCAATAGCTCTGCGGCCTCTATGGCGTAGCTGAAAAGGGCCAGATACACCATGTCCTTCAATGGTAAAGGGCTTTCCAGACCGTGAGCCATTCCCCCACTCCAGCTCAGCGGCAGTGTCAAGCAGCTTCAAAGCGAGCGACCAAACGAATTGCAGCTTGCAAGCATGCCAGTACTTAAGAGGAGAACTGATCCCGGTGCTCTGAAACGGAGTGCTGCTGGAGCTTATTGAATGCGATGCTTCAGGCGAAGCAACTTTCCAAAGATGAATGTCATGAAGTCACGGGGTGCAGCAAGAGGCAGTGAAAGGGTTTGCGGTTTGCAAGCGGCTGAATTGCAGCGTCCCGGCAACGTTGGGACTGGGACTGAAGCAATGCAACCACTTGCACATGATGCCGGCGATGCTTGCCCACTGTTCGGGCATGGCGACGCAATGCGACGCAACTTGCAGCAAATGCACATGATATCTTCCCCGCGCTCAACAACACTGGGGAATTTAAAAGGGAGCGTTTGCAAAATGTGCGCCATCAGTTGATGTGATGAATCACTTACAGCTCATGGGCAAGATGTTCGCTAAGGACGGCAACCCATGACAGGCAAACATCAAAAGGGTCGTGTCCTCGGTTTGGTAGTACCCCGCGCAGAATCTCACGCCGCCATGGAGCAGAAAAGCAAAGCCTCCTGATCAGAGTCAGCAGAACCACCCATTAATGAGAACCAGCCCTAGGCGCGGATCCCAGCTCCTTGGCGGTGGAAGAGCTGGATCAGTTGCTCGATCTCACCTGGGGTTTGTCAGACAAGGTGTGTTCTCTCTAACATCTGCTTCGTGGTAAGATCAGCCATGTGATAGGCCCGTGCATACACGGGGCCCGCAACTCACACCTGAAATAAAAACACCACCGCCCAGCAAACATGAGTCAGAAATTCGCTTTTGCAAGGCCCACCTTGTCTTTTGCCAGCAGGAAACTTCGCGGCGATTAAATCCTTGCAGCATGTGGAACTGTGCTGATCGAAGGGCCTAGAGGGCCTAGTAGCTGGGAGACAGAGTGGACCTGAACACAACCACCGCAACTCTCTAGAGTCGACTCTAGAGGAGCCGAGACCGGGTGTTTCTTCGCAGCTGTGAGGAATTCGGATCTTACTGCGAACTTGTTGTGGAAAGGCTCTGGCACCGCGATGGACCCTGGGATCAGGAACACGACCAGGTCCAGCACGGCATTCGCGTAGAACGCTTTGCACATCCATGATGGCAGCGACATGGCCTCTTGCCTTCACCCTCGGAGCCGAAAATGTTCCTGGAGGCACATTCTGCACATGCGTACTTTACCCAGCCGTGGCACCTGGACTTACAACATGCCGCTGCATTCTGGGCACTGCGATGCTCAGGCTGACACTGGCGTAGATCCTCGGCACGGCAGTGCGCAGGGCTGCGGCTTTGTCCAAAGACTTGGATAAACACTCACCTTGCCCACAGCCGCTAGCTCTTGTGACAAGCGAATCAACACGTCTCCAACTCGAAGGATTGGAGAAGCAAAATGGCAGTCACATCCCAATGGAGCCATGTCATGCGAACCATCTTTGATGCTCTTGTACATTTGGCCAAGGAAGGTGCTATGCCGGAGTTGAACCGGCCGTTTGTGCGCAAACCTCGACAGAAACATCAGACTCGCACTCACAAGTGGTGTTTGTGTCTACAAGCAGCTGCAGCCCTTCCATGCACTGGTTCCGCTGTTCCCATAGATCTCTCGTCGTATACGGCATTCTTCCCAACTGCACTCCTCTCGCTCTGGGACGAGGACTGCCACCAGCAAGCCAGAAGCTGCGGTTGTACAGCTTGCCATTCCTAGCAACCTCCCAGGGTACGAAAACCATATCGTAACAGCATGTGAGAGCTCCAATTTGGCACCAGATTTTAACAACACGATCCGAGGGGAATTTTAGCCTAAACTGCATTCAGTGATCGGACCAAGCGGAGGAAGACAGTCCACAGTGGTCACGCAGTCGTTCACTCAGTAGCAGAGACCAGAAGAGTATCGGGATGCAAATCCTGATGTTGTGGCCGCTTCAAGAGCTCTGGGCTCAGATAATTTACTGAGCTGTTGCTACGATTGAAGCTTTCGGCTCCGCCATCTTATTTATGTTTCCGAGCCAAAGCTTCACATACAGCGAACACCACAAAGCTTGACCATGCTGGCTTTCTGGCTCCCATTTCAATCATGGCTGGCCGACAGCTTACGATTTATAGTGGAACTTTCAGGTGCGGTCTCCTCTGACTCTCAATCCGCATAGCCACCAAAGGCCTATTTATGAATCATTCCTGCAGCCACGATTGGTTTCAAGTGCCTTCATGACGCTGTAGCCGGAGACCTCACCGCAGACACACATGTCCATGAATGCCCAAAGCCAGAAAGCTTGCATTTCTAATTGTACTGTCTGGAAGACTCTGGTCACTAGTCACTAGTCGTCCAACCCCAGCCTCCTGAGGACATGCAGGTAAATCGAGGGTCCTCCACTCTTACGAGGGGCTTTCAAATGCAGACATACACCGGACCACAACAGCTGTGATGTGAGTAAATCAAAACAACGATCGATTGAAACGTGCCCGAAGCTACGTTTCATCGTTGTGGGATGTGGCAATGCTCATGCTGAAGTTTGCAAAGCGTTGATTGCTTGTTTGACTGGACTCTGAACCTCCGGCCCGGCATTCATCGCATCTGCCGCGCATGCTGCTAAGCCCTGCACCAGCTTCTCGAGCTGCGCCTCCCACTGCTCCAGCGTATGCCGCTCCACCAGGGACTGGTACCTAGTGGCCGAGTGCGCTGGACATTCTTCTCCAACTGCTCGGCTCATGTCAGGACAGCTGAGACGCCGGCAGGAGATTCTCAGGACCCTGGGAGGCACAAGGTGGTTACAGCTCCCGGGTAGTTCCTCCCAGGATCTGGGGAGGAACATGATACTAGCGTGCCATCACTGGAAGATGATTGCTACTGTTCGACTTGCCTGATTGCCATACCACAAAGGTGCCTTTTGCAACCTACTGAGGTATACCCAGGGGCGAATTGTTGACAAGTCAAACAGCCAGCCCTGTCCAAGGAGTCGCGCAAGAAATATGTTACTGTTGTTGCACCATGCTTGTGCGAATATGTTGCTGCTTCAAAAACTTCAATGATGTGTGTCAGTCGCCCGGATCGTGAAGGACACCCGGATCGTGAAGGACAGGACAATCAATGGCTAATAAACCAGTATAATTAATTAGACAGTAGATAGACACCACAACCTGGTGTAATTGCTGAATGGGGCCTACTGTCCCGAGTCACATCTTTCAACCCCAGCAGAGCGAAGAGAGCCCATTTCTTCTAAGACTTGGACTCCTTCGGATCGTTGCTGGACCTGGACCAGCCTCGGGGCTTTTCAAGCGGATGTCGCATCTGGAGTATTGGGTTCGAGCAGCCCCTCCTTCATTCTGTATATTCTATGTATACGGCTGTGATCACATGAAGTCGCATGAAGCCCAGTCTACTCATGGACTGCAAGTGCTCCACGTAAGTTTTCATGCACACATGACAATCATCAAAGTTGGCCGAAAAATCGTCCACACCTTGCTCTCGGCACGCAGTGTTTTTCAGCCATACTGCTTCGCTTCGCGCGCTCAGCCACCATTGCCTGGTGCAGAAGTCGACAGAGCAGAACAAGCAGGTCTGTGCCTTTCCCTTGCTGTTCGGTCTTCGCTCTAGGAGGCAGTTCTCCTCAGGGGAGGCTTTGTTACCCCTCATCTCTCGCGGACAAACAGGTCAGTCGTTTGACGAGCTGATTCCGCTAGGTGGATTGTCAACACATCGTGCCTCTTCGCTCCAGCTGTAACTCATCTTGTTACCCTTGTTGCCCTTGCCGTTCGCATAGCCTGTCTTGCCCTTTGCCTTCCGCTTGTCGTTGGTATATCCTTGTAATGGCTGGGTGAGACAAGTTTGCCCACGAAGGCTCTGGTGGGGCATCGGGTGAGCTCGTGGTGACAGATGTTGGGACGCTGGCCGCAAACGCCGGATCGAGCACGCTGCACCACTTAGATGGCAGCTATGGCGAAGCGTTGGCTTGAGTTCTGCCGCACGACCGAGCCACATGCTGCACGATGGGAGCACGAAGCAAAACATAGCACTGGATGCAGAAACACACACCAGCTTGTTTGTGCACAGACGAAGCTTCTACGTGCAGGCGCAACACTCACCGGACTTTTGAGAAACTCGTTCATGCTCCATCATGTCATGTACACACAACGGCACAGTTGACATGGCCTTCCGGTGGGCAAAAACCCTCTCTCCTTTATCTGTATGTCTCAGCTTTGCATCATCTTTCCTTTCCCACCGAGAGTCGACGCTGTCGCGGACAGCCCTACCCCGAATCCTCCCGATCTCTGGAGGAAGACCCTCGAAACCTCTCAACAACACAAACATGGTTTGCTGGCCTGGCCAAGCGATGACAGGTCCCCATAACCTGGGCTTCACAACTTATGGCCTTCCGGCACAGAGAGCGGAAACATTTGGCGAGCGGGGTCAACTTCAAGGATCGCAGATCTCCCGGAAAACTGTCCGGCACCGACAATTCACTCCGGTACCAGATGTCGCCTTGCATGCAGTCCTTTCAATATCTTTTCAATCATGACCACTGGCTACTTAGCAGTGATATTTCCTCAACGTAGTTGAGACCATGTCACTGAAGCGGCCCGGCACACACATCGACTGCACGGCCGTCTGCAGGTCCGTTGCGATCGTCGCATCCTGCAGGTTTCAACTGCATGCTCGAACCGCAAACATCAAGCCAATTCGGGCCATTCCGGCCTCTTCGGATAGTTTTCCGAGTTGCCAGAAAGTTTCAGCCGAATCCTCCTCCTCTGCCTCACGACACAAAGCGAAGCTGTTCATCTTCGAACTGCGAAACGGTCTGCCTGCGTCTCTTTGGCAGGATTGGAAGGTGCATCGTTGGCCTGCCAGACATGAGCTCACAGCTCGATACGACCCGCTGGAAGACGCGAAGAGTCTCCGCAGGAACGGCTGTGCACATCTGCGAATTGCGAGCTCAGGCAGTGTAGATAGCAGATTCTGATTCGTGTAGCAGTCCTGAGCACGTTAAACCTGCCTGCGAGAATGAATGCCGTCGTCTAGCAAAGGTAAAGGCTTGCCCTGTCATTTCTAGAATTTGAATAACAGCAGCACACACGATGTTTTACTTGGTAGCAGTGCTCCCGAGAGGCAGTTGCTCAGCCTTGCCGCCTGAGTGCTGCACTTGCTCCTATCCGGCCCTACCTACCATGCACTCGGCTGCGAAATAATTCAGGATGGTCCAGGATGGTCATTGCAAACTGTAATTGTTTCTGCTTGCGGCCTCTGACTCGCTGGATGCATGCAGCTGTGGTAAAGCCGCCGGCCGCAGCGGCAGGGCGCGAGCTTCCTCCCGAAGAACCGGATGCAAAAACTTAAACTGACGAACCCCTCACCCTAACTCTCAAGCAAGGCAATCAGATCTAGGCCCCTAGGCCCTAGGCAGCTAAACCTGCTCCCGGACAAGCCCCCTCAGCCTGCACCACTAGCGGCGAGGCTCCGGGTTTGGCACCCTGCGGCTTGCTGCGTAGCAGGATGAAGTTCACGATGAGTTGCATCCCTGATTTGGGTGTGAGTTCCAGTCTCGAGAGGGTCAACTGGTCAACCTTTCGTCGCCTGTCGCCTTGCAGGGACCGTCGCCTGCTTCTCTCAGTGTCACTATGTGGAAAGCGTGTCATGGGATTCGGGCTTTGAGCTGCAGACTGCCTCCTTGTGATCGGCATGTTCTGCACGAACCAACAGCTCCTCACAAAAAGCAGTAGGACATCTTGTCAGCTCTTCGCGGCAGGACATCTTCCCCTCTTTAGTGCTGCAAAGGTCTCCTTCTCCCCCAAACGAATGGAGACCCAGCCAGTGCTGGGCCCGCGACCGGCCTGAGAGACAATGCTTCCCACTGCCCCCCCCACCCCCCAACCCTCACAGCTGGCCTGCAGAGCGTAATGCAGTCGATCGCCATTGACTTCCAGCTCCTACGGTTTAGGGTTTAGGGTACTTTGCCAGAGCGATTCCAAGTTGGGGTCCCGCAGTACAGTCTCAGGTCAGCGACTCCCATAGACTCCATCATATAAGCCCTGGCAGGTCCTGCACAAGTGCCCCAGTGGAAAGCCGAACGTTGAGCTTGGGCCTAGTCACAGGTCCCGAACACTCGAAATTTGTATTTGTGTGGCTTTGGTTCTGATAATCATGAGATTCGAAACAGTGGCCATGAGCTCGGATCCCAGGAATTAAGGGCTGCAACTGCCTGCTGCTGAGAGTCGAATTCGTGTCCGGTCCGGTTCTTACCTCAGAGCTGACGAGACTTAGCCCAGCCACGTCCACTGCGCCCAGCTCCTCTCCCACTGTTGCATAACATCAACCGACTAAGCCGCATTCGCGTACCAACCTCCAGGACTCCAGGAGCGAGGCACGACGACCAACGGCTACAACATGTCCAGAATAAGTCCGGCGTTCAACGAAGCCCGAAAATTGCCGCATGGAGCCTGTTGCCAAGCCAAGTATGGATGCAAAACAACTTCCCTCAAACGCGACGCCCCAATCCTACAGGTAGGCTGAGTGAAAGGCTATGATTCCGCCGGTAGCTTCTCCGCCGACCACCTGCCTGAGAACAGAACGGGAACCGGAGGCTCAAAACCATTGGCGCGCTGCCCTGCACAGTCCTACTGCAGAGAAGATTTCCAAGCCTGAAACACCCTTGAACCCGAAATCTGCCCAATCCTCGGGCCGTCATTCCTCTGCGGGGCTCGCAGATCCCCTTCCTGGAACTGGACAAAGACAAAGCTGCCAGGGCTTGGCCACTCCGAGGCCGGCCAATCGTGAGCGGCGCGAGACGCCTGCGCTGTACTGCTGACAGTGGCATGTCTCATCAATCTAGCCTTGCCATCTCCAGCGACCCCAGCACCATCGGCATAATCATCATCAGCCATGTTAGCATCGCCCAAGTGGTTTTCGTCATCCTCAGCATTCCCGCCCTCATAATGGTCGCAATCTCAATTGAATCGTCATCGTCGCCATCTGCATGAGGCCAGGTATCACCACAGTTAATGCATAGGCACTCACATGTCTATATGGCGAAGACCTCAGGCACAGCTCCTCTCCAAGCTGTTCAAGTGCACATGCCGACGATGAACAACAAACACAATCCCCCTGATCCGTAGCATCCTGCCCAAGAGCTCGCGGGGTCTTAGAGATCGCTTGGGATCAGTAGGCATGCAACCGTCAAGTCGAAAGCAAGTCTCTTCGAACAGAGTAACAACCACAAGATCCACCACTGGCAGAATGGCGCTAGCAGTGGCACGGTTGGTGTAGTCGCAGTGCCAGTCGCAGTGAGAGTGGGAGTGATTAGTGCTGCAGTGCACGGGTGGTGCTGGCGGTGGTGGCAGGGGTGACGGTGGTAGCGAGGTTGATTGCCAGCAGCATAACGAGCAACAATAGGCGCAAGAGCAATGGCAAGAAGACCGGTATCATCAACTCGGGTCAGTCTCTGCAGGTGCCTGGAGCCAATTTCTGTGCTGCCGCTGCGTCGCCCATCGGACCCAGAAGTGGTGCGTGGGCCGCTTCTATTTTGGGGCTTCCAGAAGATTTGGGGTCCTTGATGGTCCTTGCTTGTAATATTGATTCAGCTGTTTAGTGTTTCCTACCTAGTGTGGCGCCCGTACATCAGTTGTGTCCCACTCCGAAGGTGCTGCAGCTCAACATTCCGTTCAGGCTGAGGACGATGTTCGAATGAAGGGAAGGAATGACTGCTAGAAACTTGGCAGAGCTCATTGCCTGAGTGCGAAACTCTGCTACCATTCACTTGACAAAGCCGGCAGTCGCAGGCCACTCTGTCCCCTTCTCACCGATAACCCACTCACATCACTCACCATCTCGAGGCATTGGCAGGTTGCGGTCAAGTGCGCTGTTGTACGCTTCAGGAACAAGACAGATGATGAGAGCGAGACAGAGCATCATATTTATGCTTCACATCCTGACATACAAATTCCTGGAGCGTGTTGTGTCGGAGGTCACGCTGCCACACAGGCGTGGACCAGTTTTCTGAATGATGCAATACTGCGGACTTGCATCGACAAGCCCGACGCAAGGGCCGGCCAGCTGAGTGCAGGGCAGCAAGGAGCCCGGCCCGTGTCCCGGCGGCACCAAGACATGAATGAGGTCGCCACCTTAGCTTCCGAATCCGAGGAGTGGGAAGGTGCTCCAAGCCAAATCCAGCTGCTCAAACATGCTCAAGCTGAAACAACAGTACTGCGGTCAGTGCGATGGGACGAAGGAGAGTGCATTTACGCCCTCACGCTTCCCTTTCCCCTGAGATGTGGGCTGGGGGCGACGACCTCCAGAGTGTCTCCCTCCCCACAGCCTGAGGAATCTCAGGAGTCGCCGTTCGTCATTCATCAACTGCCAGCTATAAACACAAGTTTCCGAAAACCTCCTCTGCCTGAACCCTTGATGGAACCGATTGTATCTTTGGGGAGGCAAGGTGCAGTTTGCAGCCTGACCTGTACTGGGGTTGGCACCATCCGGGACTCGCACCTGGGCCGTGAGGAATCCGATGGACTTGGCCACCCGCAACAGCACACTTCTGGTCCTAACAGACCTCACACCTAGCAGCTCCTAGCACATCTAAACCCTATACGAACTAAACTTCACTAAACCCTATATGCCTTAAACCTTATAAACCCTATAACCCTAAGCCCTATATGGCAACCTGATGAACTGCCTGCCTTGATCTGCATCAGTCCCCCCTTTGAGGTCGATCCACGCCTGAGGCAACGGGGCAAAAGAGGAGATCCGAGGAGCTCCGGGTGTTCGGCTGTGTGGCCATAGTAGTAATACAAAGAATAATAGTACTACTAATAATACTAATATAGTAATAATAATATAATACCAATAATAATAAGAATAGTAGTACTAATAATAATAATACTAATAATAATAATAATAATGCTTCTGACAACTCGGCAGAACTCTGAGGCTCCGTCTGGATCTCCTCTTCGGCCCAGGACTCGTCGTCATCCTGACACCCAGGGCCCAGGAGGCGACTGGTGGAAGGGTCCTTAACTGAACAATGCCCCAGAGATCCAACTCCTCATCCTTTTTGTCATCATCATTATCACCATGGCCTCCTCATCACCATCATCTCCGTCATCCTCATCCTCATCATTCTCATCCTCATTTCAGACATGCCAGTAATTGCCAGTAGCATCCCAGGACCAATGTCTCCGATCGAAACACCTTGCCTAGAAACAGAAAGCAGCAAATCCACAGCCAGGAGCTCTCAACACCCCAACCCGAAACCCTGGAAACCAGGGTTGCCTCCTCGGCCCTCCTTTCTTCCTGGCGCTGCTTCCGGTTGTCGAGGTTGCATCTTCACAGTTTTCTCGTGCGGGTACTTGTCTTATCTATTCTATAAGATAATTTAGGGTCATGTATCGTCCACGTCCGATTCTGGCGTACAAGCAAGGGCTTTGATTGACCGGCGACGGCGATGGCGTCGCTGGATTTGAACTTTTCGGAACTGGGCTAGATCACTGTAGTCGGTTAAAGCATTGAGCCAAGAAATCAGAAATCGAGGGTACCCTCATTCTGTATAGCAGAAACACTCGAAACAGCAGTGAGCTTATGAATAAGAAAGGTCTCATCGAGAATCATGCGTTTGTTGTCCAGCGCTGGTGCTGTACTCAAGGCTCTTCGCCAATCGGACTAGACTGCCCATGACTGCCATAAACTTGAAACGCTACATAGCTCCTATGCTAAAACCATGCGCACAAACGATACGGCCGACGTGAGGTAGTCGGGCTTCGTTGTGTACGCACGGACGAATGACACCCCCGGCGCGGGTCTTGAAAGCATCCACGCGATCCTTTCACAACACAGGTTTAGTCAGAAAGCAGAAGCACAATGAGAAAAGCCTCTGTAAACTGATGGCTCCAAACGATAAGACAGCAAACGAGGGATTAGGAAGGAACAGCTGCCAGAATTTTTACGCTCTCTGACAGATTTAGATGGAAGTTGCGGGGAAGTCAAAGACTGGCCAACCTACATCGACACCCTGCCTCCCGTGCCGCCGCAACGGCTGAGGCTGCAGCTAGGAGATCCGGCCTCCACAGGGGAGGCTCCAGGATTCCCGGCACTTCCCGGCAAGCTAGGATCAGAGATTTGCTTCGACGGCTTCGTCCAACTCGCTAACGGCGGACTGCAGCTCCGAAGTTATATGGCTCAGGCCGACTCCCTTTCCAACAAATCTGGGTTCCAAGGCCTGGTGGCCGCTGTGCCAGGGGCGAGCCCTGCCGTTTCCTGCGACAGCCGGAAGAACGTAGGAGGAGACCACTGATATTGAGAATGATGAGGACGGCTCTAGTCGTTGAGTGTGTGTTTCTTCTGGTGCTCCCAGGTATCCCCCAAGTACCTCCCATGGCCATTTTGAAACACATGCCTGGTCGTTGTGCCACACACAAGATGCATGCGCCCCCCGGTGGCGTTCTCGAAGAAGCATCCTATGTTTTGCATAATATTTGCGCTGTTAGGGCAGACGGCGAGCAGCCTGCAAAGCTAGGCTCGACATGCTTGGAACACAAAGAAGAGTTGTTCACCCACCTCGAAGTGCGGACTCTGCTGCGTTTCAATCGGAAACTGTCCGTATGCGCGACTTGACCGCTCGCATCAACCGCGAAGCTGAACTTTCAGAGCTCTCCGCCTTACCAACTGCCACTGCATTTATTTGTACCTGTTTCTGTCTCAGTTTGCTGGGTGGGCCGGAGGCGCGAGGACGAACAACGCGACGGCTCACCAACGGCTTTGTTTTCTGTTCTGGCTACGGCAACTAGCTATCTGAGCTGAACAGCGAGATTCCGCAGGCCAGCACATGCAAGTGGCCATTCTGACCGATCAGCCACAGCACGCCTCCTCTTCTCGTTGAAGCTCAGCTGCGATAGCTGCGTCATCCTGTGCGACTCTGACAAAAGCCCGTGCAAAATTCGATTGAGCATGTATGCTCATGAGCTTCACGATGCTGCCTATTTGTTGCAGTCTCCCTTTCCAGCTTCCACCGCTGACGTCACTACTTTCGGTTCTCATGAACGACCTCGACGTTTGCGCGGATGTCGGCTTGCATTGCAGCTTCCTGCGCTTGGGGCACTTGCGAAGCAGTGCCGGTCAAGCTTCGAAGCTTTACGACACAGCACTGACCTTCGTATGCACAGTAGCATGCGGTCTGGTTGCACGTGCCTGCTAAATCAAACGGATGTTTCCCGCTCTTCTACCATTCATGCATAACTGTATAACAGTATCGTTAGAGCCTGATGTCATGCCTCCTCGAGTATGTATGTGCACTTACTTCGTCCTCAACCTGGAGATGTGGGGTAGCGGAGATTGCTGCCTGCAGGCGGGGAGAACAAAAAACGCCTTTGACTTGAGCCCTGCGCATCAACGACGTTCCTTCAATCGTGCAATCGTCACGATTGCGAAGTGTTTCCTACTGGTATTCCTACTGCTGTAAGTACCCGCGATTCACCTGTGTCCTGCAGCTGCTACTCCTCGCGATTTCTGGACACATCTTGCTTCAGAAGCGCTTGGAAAGGAGCAGACACGGCTTGAGCCTGAGTCGCCTGGGCTTCGGGCGCCTGGGCCTCGCCAAAGCGACGTTGCGGGGGAAATTGAGACTCGAGGCTACGGCAGGTTGAGCGGTGGGCGTCTTCTTGAGGCTGGGCTGCTTCTGCAATGGGGGAGAGGAGTTCATGCTTGTTTTCCTGCATGAAACTACTGCCCATGTGCTCCAAGTTGGCTCACTGCTTCGGTTCTACGAGCTCGCACATACCCGGGGTCATTCAATGGCACGTGCTACGCGAATACGAAGGCACTGTGAGCAAGTCGATCCACCTTGGCCAATTTGTGCCACAGCAGGGTGCTCTTGCATGTTCAAGCGCCGCTGCTTGCTCGAGCCGCTGGAGTTCAGGACTTCACTTCCACGCTTTGCTGGCCTTCGTTCGCTCTAGCGCATCGATGTCCAAACGTTTCTGCACATGGCTGTGAATTCCGCACCATGTCCCAAGGGACGCTTTCCCCAAACCGGTGCAAGAGTCGTGGAGTTGCGTACCTTGCTCCGAACATAGGTGGAACACTCCCTGCGCCCATCAGCCAACAGACGAGCCAAGTTTGGTGAGGGAGCGGTAGCCGCTATAATAGCTGATCGAAGACGATGCAACGCTGTACGACACCTAATGATCCAAATGACAACGCCTTTACGACCTGCGAACCTCACCAAGAACCTCCAGGGGCCTGCAGCACCGGCTTCATCTTCTTGTGCAACCTTGGGGTGATTTTGAGAGGTACTGTGTAGGGAAGATGAGGGAAGGGCTGCCTTTGCCGAGTGCTGACGTCGCGTAGCGGCGTAGCGTCAGTGGTTTGGACACCCATCCGTGCGCAAGGCCTGCTTTTTCCAGGAAGCGAGCTCTTGCTCAAGACGGCGCCAAGTACAGTGAGTTGAGCAAAGAAAGGCTTTGGCTGAACTCGATCCCATGGGAAAAATGCACATGCAGGATGCTGCCGTGCAGAAAACCTCCTACGGACTACGGCGCCTGGGAGGCCTGCAGAATCCCTGCGGCATTCATATCTGCTAGGACTCCTCATTCAGCTTGCATATCAAGACTTCTTGAGAGATTCTGGAACCATTGGCGTACGTGATAACCTCCTGATGACATTCCATCATCTCGTTCCTTATGAATGTTACAGCAGAGATCGCAAAGGATGACAACCCAGTGACTGTGGCTACAACATCCAAAAGCCCAACATAGTCCAGGAGGGCGCTCGACAGGACTGCGCGCCACCGTCTGTATGAAGCACCTCGCCTTCAACTGTTGATGTCGACAACGATCTATTCTTCAGCTTGGACTGCCGAACACAAGCACGTTTGACATCGGAAGAAGTCGTAGCCAAGACTGCAAAACGAGCGGAACCTACCTTTTGTCCTGCTATCGCTTGATCACACAGGGCTTGAACATGTACTCACTATACAACTGTACAAGGTACACACTACACCCAGAGACTACAGGTGAGGCTTGAGATTTTGTCGCAACCTCCTTGTAGTGGGTAGCTTGTCGCTCCCTTGTTGCGCATTGGGCTCAGTATTAATGCGTCACTTAGTCTTGCTCTTGAAGCAAAACTTGCAAAAGGTGAACCCTTTGATGTCATCGGCTCTGTGCAGTCCTTGACACCCAGGGTCTGTGTGGACTTTGCGTCCCTTCCGGCTCACAAAGAGCTTTCCGTGTGGGCACTTTTCGCCCATGTAAACAATCACCTCTTAGTTTCCAAAATGGATACACTTACAGAGGCAAAAGATCACTCCAACCATCATTGTGATGATGTTCGTTAGGGCTCGGACTTCAGCGTCGCCTGAGCTCGTAGCTGGCGTCCCCTGCTGCGTTCGCGCAGAGGTCTCCACGACAGTCCCTCCTAGGACTATCACCTGTGCACCGGTGTTTTTCCTGTCCTCCTTGTCTCCTGCCCAGTCGCTGTCGCATAACCCCTGAAGAGGAATCCCTACGACCGGATCAACCTGCTCGTTAAGCTTGGTCACGTGTCCAACCTGCATTGTTCCTCGAAGGTACCTTCAGGTTTTGCATGTCGCATTCGCGCGGGTCTCTGATCCGCTTTGCCAGCTCCTTGCAGGCAAACTTGATGTTTGGCCTGTCCTGCGATAAGTAGGTGGCGCTACCTACGCAGCTCGCGAAGATCTCTTTAGCTTTGCCCTCGAGGCCTCGAGGGGTTTGTTGTCGCTCAAATTGAGCTTCTTCCCTGGCACTGGACTAGGCTTGGCATTCTTGAGTCCTAAGCATCCTAAGGATGTCTGTGGCATGCTTCTCATTTGGCAATGTCACCGCAGCATTCTCAACAAGGATTTTCTTCCTACCAAGGAACTCAGACGTGCTAGTGCTTGCTTCCCCTGGCCATTCAAGCTCTCCCATTTTCAGCTTGCATCCACATTTTGGCAACTGCACCTGCAGCAAGTCCTGCAGTGGGTCAGCTGGTCCGCACACATCGAAGTCATCAATATGATGAACCAAAAACTATGCCTGTACAAGTGCACCTAAACACACAGGCATCAAGCTTCCCACGCTTGAAGCAATGCTTGTCCTTTGGCAGCTCCTTCATGAAGATTTCCTCCAGCCTATCTCTGTACTGGGCTGCTGCTGACTGCCTGCCGTACAGGTTTCCATCCACCTCGTAGAATTTCTTCCTTTGGCACTCTCATCTGCTCTTGGATCTCAGGCCTGGCTTTCGCAAACCATTCGTCATACTCTTCAGGCCATTCGTTTGGCGGTCGCATGAGCACTGGCTGCCCACGAGCGTCCCCACCATCTCTGGCTATCAGGAATGCCGAACTGAGGTCGGCTTTCACTCTTGGCATCTTTGTTGCCAACGAGTAAACTTCTAAAAGCTTGCGCGAGGTCGCGTGTGGCGTTGGGCAAAAGTTCGAAGGGTACTCCGAACTGTGCTTCTCGTTCACCTCCTGCTTCTTCTTGAAGTCTTGGCACGGGAGTCTTGACGTCGCCACTCCTTCTGTCACCTTGTCGACCCACTTGTGACCGACAACAGTCAAGTCCTTTGACAACTGACGCCGGTCTCTCGGCGTGAAAGCTCCGTAAACCTCGTTGAGCTTTCTAAGCTCTTCCTTTCTTGCTCTGTTGAGCTCTCTCTCGTCCATCTGCATGGTGTCCAGGTCGTCCATGATATTGCTAACCATGTTGGAGTTGAACAGTCCCTCGTTCTGCTTCAACCACTTCTTGTAGGACTCGTAGTCTTCCTTTCCAAGGCAGCTGCTCGCCCCGTTCCACTCACCATCGTTGCTGATACAGGATACCATGTCCTGCGCCATGTCTCCGGGAATGGAAGGCGAGTTGAGACTGTCATTGAGATCCTGACTGCCTGTTCCCATGCTGGCATCAGGTGTCGCGATATTGAACCGCGCTGGTCCACCTGAAGGTCCAGCGGTGTCACCCGCGGGCTGCTGGGCCTCTGCACGTTCCACCCTGGCTTTCTTGCTCCCTGGTTCACTCGCTGTTGCTCTCTCTCCTCTCTTCTCAAGCGCTGGTGCTGCCGGCGTCGGCACAAACACCACCTCTTTCTCCCCACTCGACCCAAAGTCGTAGGTCTCGGCCGCCTCCAACTCGGGAACTGCAACAGCCTTGTTCTCGAATTTCTCCTGCTGCACTCTGCTAGTGGCGATTCCGAAGTACCTGTTCCAAGGTACTCCTCTGGCCTTTTCCAAAACTTTGCTGCTGTGCTGGGAACTTTCTGGCGACCTTCGCACTGTTCTGCAGGTCTGCACCCCTGCCTCTGTGAGCAACAGGTGCTCGTCTCCCACAGCATTCTTTCCCACATACACTCCCCGAATCCATCTCGGGGCAGACTTGTCCATCTGTTTGGGATACTTCGCCATTGCCACCTGACCAAAAGTCATCATCTCCCCTAAGTAGTCGTATCCGTTCACGATCCTAACAGCTGTTGCTTTCGAGTGGTTGATGTGGATTGCTAGCGTCCACGCACTGTGGCGCATAATCCACGGAAACAACACACTGTCGCAAACGATCTTCGTTTTGTACTTCTCGGAAACTTCAGCAAGCCACGTGCGCGCCTTTCCTGCGATGAGACCATTGACCATCTCCCCATCCGCTAAGGACTGGGAGCTGTATCGCGGTGATCTCCGCAGGGTTATGGTGTCACCCATGCCTGCCTTCACCTTGTCATAGATCTTGTTCAAGGCGCTTTTCTGGTCAAACTGAATGACCACCTTGTCCCACTCGAGGTCCTTGATCTAACTCATCATCGCCTTGCTCGCGTAGTCCACGCTGGCCTTGGATGGCAAAACCAATGCAAGCGGGTATTGGCTTTCCTTGCAGATCGCCGTCACCACCGTCACCAAACCGGCCTTCCTCTTTTCACTGTCCTCTTTGCTCACTTCTGCTCCTTCTTTCGCAAAGAACATGTAGTCCGAATAGATGATGTGATCCTTCGGATCCTCTTTGACTCTGCGGTGTTGCTTGCTCTTTCCTTGCCCCATCACACAACCAGGGCACCAACTTTCAAAGTTGGCGTGGTGAAGGTTGTGCTCCTCCACTTCTGCAGCTGTTGGCTCCTTTGGTGCCTTGATAGCCTTTGGTTTCTTTTCACCACTCTCGTCGTCAATCATCAAACGCTCCTCGGCGTCTTCATCATCTTCCACGATTCTCTCATGAGCTTCTTCTCCTCCAGCTGCTTCCTCCTCGTAGGCTTCGTCAAGGCCTTGCATCCATTCATCCTCGTGGCTTGGCTGCTCCTCTGCAGCAGCTCCTTCCTCAGCCCTTTCAGGCTTCAACCTAAACCAAGTTTCTCCTAACCATGCATGCTTAAACTCTCTCATCGCATACCTTGTCTTCCCACATGCTGCGGTCTTCTCGCTGCGAACCATCGTCCTCAAAGATCATCTTCGTGAGCCTTCCGCTCTCAATCCTCTCCAGCGGCACTGGAAGGTCTTTGACCCTCGGCGCGAAGAGTCTCTTCCGCGGGTTGTTGTGCTCACGAATGAGGTACTCATCCCCATCCTTTACTTCTCTCTATCACCTGTCAGGCTCTCGAGGTCCACGGTCTGGCTCGTCACCGATTGAGGCTATGCGCCCACGCACCGGTGTAGAGCTTTCGGTCTTGTCCATGACTTTCAGGTACAATCTTTTCCCGTGAAGTGGTACGGTATCACCCGCTCTCGTCTCCATGTAACACCCTCCTGGGCTAAAGACCACCTTGTGTCCCTTGGCTACCAGGCTGTGAACCGAGACGAGGCTCTCAGCAGCATCGGTCACTGTCATTTCGACTGACCCACTAGTCTGTCCACACATGACCTGCGGATACTGCTTACCGTACACTTTCAAAGGAGTTCCTTGCATACTGAAAAGCGGCTTGGCTTTGGAACTATCAATTTCAGCACTGAAGTCCCCAAACTTGGCAACACTGTCAACAAGAAGATGCCTGCATCCTAGCTGCTCCGGCCCAACAGCCGAAACAATGCTATCACCCACTGTGAAAATCACATCCTCATCGCTCCACCTTGCAATTCGCTTCGTGCCCTCAAACACAGACCCTACCGCCGTGTTGTTGCTGCTCGTGTTGTCCTTTGTGTTTCCAAAGCCACCGGTTCCACCGGTGTCGGTCGCAGCCTCTGCGTCGACTGCACCAACCTTCCACCAACAGACAGCGGCAATGTCTCCATGCCTGTGGCATATGTGGCACTGCTTCCCCGCGTGTGGGTTGTTGCCCTTCCCTTTTCCTTTGTCGTTTCCTCCTTTTCCTTTTCCTTCCTTTCCCTTCTTGCCTTTTCCTTTGCTGTCCTTGTTGTCCCAGCTCGTCCTTCCAACCGTCCTTTCTTTTTCCATCTCTAGCCTTTTAACCTTTTCCTTTTCCTTTGTCACCCTTCAAAGCTCCTATGTCCATGGGCCTTGGTCCTCCATCATCCGTTGGGTTCTCCGCGTTCTTGTTTGCTGCTTTTGTCAACACAAACTGAGACCCTTGTGGTCGCTTCCAAAAGTTTCTGTTGATGAGGTACTGTTCGATGTATTCTCGAATCTAGCTGTCAAGGGCATCGCTATGCATGAAAATGCTCTGCTGAAACTCGGCTTCGGTCCTCTCCTGTTCCCGTGCCCTTGTGCCCTTGTGCCCTTGTGCCCTTGTGCCCTGTGCCCTTGTGCCCTTGTGCCCTTGTGCCCTTGTGCCCTTGTGCCCTTGTGCCCTTGTGCCCTTGTGTCCTTGTGCCCTTGTGCCCTTGTGCCCTTGTGTCCTTGTGTCCT